GAGTCGGTGTGGTGAGTTGGCATACCGCGTGCATGCAAACCAAACCCACTAGGTTAAGATACCCCAATCTTAGTCTAGGACAAAATGAAATTGTGGAAAGACCTCGACGGTAATGTCAACAAAGAGGAAGAAGAAGCGACAAAAGTGGTCTGTCCGTCACGTCTTCCTACATCGTCACGCGTCGCGCGTTCACACCACCACTCTCCTTGTCCAAAACCCCAAGTCAATGGCAACAACAGCAGGAGACCGTCTCGTGAAAATCATCCGTGAATGTCGGTGTGTCGCCGTGCGTGATCTGCTCGGTTGAAGATAGCTCACTTCCTTCCCATCGGGCCTCCTGTCAACATGCAAGAACCCCACAGAAACTAGCCTGCAAGGGGTTAAGACCGAGAGCAGACAGGTGCATGTGAGCCGTCCGCAACCTCGCTGGCAACAATACGCGTGGGGCTCTAAGACCCTTTGCGCAAGGTTGTGCGCGGGCTGCGGGTGTTTATCCGGGTTGCGAGGGTTGGTTGGGTGTGGGTTGGTGGTAGGTGTGTCTGTAGGTGGTAGGTGTTGAGGGTATGTGGGCGGAGCGGAGGTTTGTAGGCGCGCGTATGTGCAGTGTCTTTTTTCTTTGCTGGGGTCTTCGGATTGATTTGCGGAACTTGCGGACTTTCACATGCGAAGATCGTGCAGGGCGTTAGGTAGTTGCACATCGCACTTGGAGAAATGCGCCTCTCCCGCCCTTTCGATTCTTTTTCTGGACGTCATTTTCGCCGATGGGACACTTTTGTTGTTGCCTTGGCGGCGTAGTTGCCCGGCCGCGTAAGTAGTGCTGTCCTACCTGCATCACCATCGTGCCATCAACAATATCGGCCCGCGAGGTGATATAGCCAGGCAACATTCTACCGAACCGTCGCCGTCGTAACACACAATCTACGGACAAAGAAGAGGTCAAGCCTTAACAAGGTATACTGGAGGAACAACAAGATTTAACCACTCGAGCGAATTGCACACCAGCACCGAGTTCGGTAAACAACCCATCCCATCACAGCTGCGCGCGGCAGCTATTTACAGTACAAGCAAACGATACGGGTCTTACGTGCGAAGCTTTCTGCAAGGAACCGTGCTGGAGGCTTAGATGGATGACATAAACTTCACCACCTGGGCATGTCCCCACTATCCGCGGTTGGTCGTATCCGCGCGCTTGGTTACCGAGGACACCTATCAGAGCGAACCTGAGTTCATGCCATGATGACGACGACGCAGTCTACATTCTTCCTTTCATCCATTATAGTTCTGGCATTCGCATCCGGACGAAGCATATCCGCGGTCGTGTAACCAACCGATCGGACCTCAGTTCAAGGCGCCTGCAATAGAAAGTTCGATGCGTCTGCAATACAGAGTGCCGCGCGTCGTGAGCCCATCGTCAAGGCGGTATCTCATCGTATGAGTAGAGGTGTAGATGTGAAGGCTGACGAATGATCTCACGGGGCGTAAGTGATGGTGATGGCGCTTGGTCCCAAACTGACGGTTCATTGTCCCAAAGCGGTACTAGGGAACTGCTAATCTAGGCCGCGATGATGTGGTTTGGTGGAGCAGATAGATGCGAAAGTAAGTGCCTCGCGGAAAGCCTTAGACGTAAGTGTCATGCTGTGCGAGGGCTCCTTGTCTACTCACGATTAGGCAGATGTATTTGGATGGTGTTGAGTCGGGGCGGAGTGAAGGGCGACGTGTATATGAAAGAGTGATTGTTCGGGGTGAAGGTGCAATGCTAGAGCGTGGGACAACGAGTTTGGAGCAAAAGAGTGATTGACGGCAAAGGTGAGTGAAAAACGGGGTTCCCAATTCTTCTCATCATCAAACTAGTAACTTCCAGATGAGGTGAGACCCTATCGTGGTTTGCCTTGTTTGATTAGCGCTGGGTCGGCTGGTGCAACTCTACACTGTACTTGTTTGCTCATCGCACGGGTGCTACCCACAAGCCAAGCCTATACATCAACTTGGTTATACGGTCTCACAAGTATCTCCTTCTTCCGTGTTGTGTCTGACCATTGCGCAGTCATTTCATGTCGACAGCAGACATTGCAATAGAACTACAGCCTTTCCGTACAGACATGGCTCGCGGCGATACTACCACACGAACGTATCGCGATGATGAGAACGATGCTGTCAGTCAAATGTCTAGTCCGATGAGTCTGGAGGAGCTAGAGCTTCAGCGGCAAGTACATCGACGTACTGCATCGCAGCATTGGTGGAAGAGATTGAACTGGTGCGGGTTATTATCGCGTCGACCTGGTGAAACCGAAGCCCACCGAAAGCAACGGAGAAGACGTTGTGTTCTTTGGTTCGGGATCATTGTTGTTATCTTGACCATCTTCGGTGCTATTGCTGGAGGGTAAGGCGATCCAGTCAGTCGCGAAGTGGGACTAACATACATCAGTGTTTATATCACATTCGTGTCTATACTGCTAAAGCGGCTCGCTCCTTCCCTCAAGAACAGTGGCCTCCAGCACATCGTCGATACCTGGCAAGAGCCGCAAGCAGCCAAGGCATTCCAATTCGACTGGAGAGATGACTTCAGTCGTGACATTGTACCCAAGAGCTGCCACTCCCACAACGATTACTGGCGCTCTGTTCCCCTCTATGCTGCCCTCGCCGCGGGATGTACCAGCATCGAAGCAGACATCTGGTTAACAGAAGATGGCGAACTGCGAGTCAGTCATTCTTGGGAGTCCACGACCAGCGACCGAACGCTGGAAAGCTTATACATCGACCCACTTGTGAACATCCTCGAACAGCGAAACGCCACAACAGCCTCAGAGCCAGACAAAAAGACCGGCGTCTTCGACATGACTCCAAGCGTAACCACCGTCCTGCTCATAGACTTCAAATCCGACCCGGCAGCAACATGGCCAATCCTCCTCTCGCAACTCGGTCCCCTCCGTTCCAAAGACTGGTTAACATACCACGACGGCTCGGTGCTCCACACAGGCCCCATTACCATTGTCGGCACGGGAAACGCCCCGTTCGACCTCATCCAGTCCATGACAAACCGGTACATCTTCCTCGACGCCCCGCTACTCTATGTCTCGGATGCGAAGTACAACACTACGAATTCTTACTACGCATCCGCCGCCCTCAGCGACGCAGTAGGCAAGCTCTGGTTCGCAAGTATGTCGTCAAAACAGGTTGGAACAGTCAAGCAGCAGGTCGAAGCAGCGGAGGCGAAGGGGTTGAAGAGTCGGTACTGGGGTACTCCGAACTGGCCGATTGGCAAGAGGGATGAGATTTGGGAGACGTTGATGGGGTTGGGTGTCGGGGCGCTGAATGTGGATGATTTGGTCAGTGCGACGATGTGGAATTGGGGGTTTTGTGTTGTGGCTGGTATTGCGCTTTGCGGGAATAGCTAGATAGACTCTCGTTGTGGGACTACTTGAATCATTGATGCGACTCATAAATGGGTCCGTGTATAGTTTGGAGATCTTTGAAGAGCACCCGGGATGTTTGTGCAATGCTGTGTTCAGTGCTGTTACGGGATCAACACAACGTCATGGCAGTGTTGATCAATGGCTGAAACTCGTGGATGTCGCACCCGTAAAATCGACGTCATCGTGAAGGCCCCCATTCGTCGTATCGATCGTGAAGGTAAACACAAACTCTGGAGCCCTAACATGTTAGCATCAACGACGGTTCTGTTTGGACCCTGGCTGTGGGGACATCTAGTGGTTGATCATAAGAAGCTTCGCCGCGGATCCGCAACAGCTAAGAATAGCCCCATTCCGTCTCGCGTTTGCCGGACAGCTGTCAGTATCGCAGTAGACACGCTGGTACAAATGCCATCATCATCGTCGACTCCTGAGAAGAAAGGCTCATCTCACCGCCACAGGGTTCGCAGCCATTCAACGGCCAAATGTGCCTGACATGTGTGATGCGTGTGGCTGAAACATTGCTGGGCAGGCACGATGCAAGCCTCAACAGGGGGGAATGGATTACGTGGACAGTTTCTCGATTCGGGGTATCTCCACCAGGATGCTCGGAAATAGGCGAGCTGTGGACCTATGGTAGACATGCGACATCGTCTTTGGGGTTTCCGCGGCCTGGCCGCCCTGCAACAAAGGGATTAGTTGCTTTTTCGTCGGCTGAAATCTGGACGGTGTAATCCGAATGTTCGGCCGGCGATGCTGAACGCGATCGCGATTGTACGAGCTGGACACAATTTTTCTCTCTGTTGGGGCGTATCGATACGCGTGTACCTGCATCTGCACCGGGTATTTTGGCCAGACCCGATCAACGTCAGGGATGGCCGATCGTGTGAATCATGCTCATCGCTGCATGAGGCTCAACCAAAACCACATCCTCACCAACGACGATACACAAGTCGCTGCTCAACGGCCTGTCCGATGTGTGCAGAACAATGGTAATTAGAGCATGGCCAGGCAGTTTTATGTGCAGCCGGCGGTGACGATATTTCCTCTCGGTGATTCGCTGTGGCGAGTAGCTAGCGGTTTCAGTGGCATGTGGCTTTTCCCGCTACCCCCTCCCTGCATACAGCTAGCATGGTCTGGGGACCGGCGCGCGGCGTTGTTCGTCAAAGTAACTCCTTGCACTGCTACTTTTCTTCACTCGCTCTCCCACCCTGCCTTTTCTGCTATTGTGTCCCGAGAGCCTCTTCGCTCGTTCCTCTGTCTCTTTGTTTCCTTACCTTGCAAGAGAACCGACGGCAGGCCTTCGTTCAATCGCTGTCGTTACACGTCTCTATTGTACTACTCGTTCAAACGGCTCTCAAAAAGGAAGTGCTCGACGCACACTCTTCCGCCAGCTTCGTTTTGGCAAAACACTCCGGGATCTGCATTCCCTTTCACAATACCCACAATACCCCGCCTGCGCGTTCGCAGTGACGAATCGGCTCCCACGACCAACTACTAGATTTCCTTTACATGACAAGCAAACGAGCCTCCTCTCAGAGGTCCTTTCGACTCTCCAACCACGGTTTCCAGCCTCTCGACAACGGAAACATGGAGAACCGCGGCGATATCCCCCTCCAGACTGTCGTCAGCCACACCCCCACGCAATCGTCGCCTACGTCCGGCAATGAGAAGTCGGAGAAGTCACACATGTTCTCGCGGGGACGCAGGAAGGTGGCTTTGGCGCCGGTGGACTCCAGGACAGGAGCGCCGTTGCCTCCCCGCCCCCATGAAGAGAAGACGGCCCTCAACCGCATGGGCAGGATCTACACCAAGATCCTGAACTGGAGCATTGTCACGCGCTACATGATCTATGTCGCTCCTGTTGCGCTGCTACTCGCCATTCCCATCATCCTCTCGCAAACCGGCACAATCACTGGTTCAATCGGCGGCACAGGCCAGAAGAAGTTCTGGATCTGGATCGAGATCATCTGGCTTAGTTTCTGGGTCATGAAGATTGTGGCACACTTCCTCCCCAACATCTTCGAATTCCTCATCGGTGTGGTCAGCCCTGGTGTCAAGAAATATGCGCTGCTCTTGAGGGCTCTCGAGAAGCCGCTGTCTTTCGTTTTCTGGATGATTGTTAACCAGGCTACGTTCCCTGCAGTAAGTCAGAACAAGCTCCTAAGACTACTAGTTACTAATATTGTATAGCTTATCCGACCTGTTGCTGGTAGAACTGGCGAGAACTACCCAGGATGGATTGGCACGATGCAGTCGGTTCTGCTTGCCCTCCTTGTCTGCACCATCATCATCCTCGCCGAACGCGTCTTGATCCAGCTCATCAGTATCAGCTACCACCGCAAGCAGTTTGACGACAAGATCAAGGAGTCGAAGCGCAACATCTACCTCCTCGGTATCCTCTACGACACTTCGCGAGCGCTTTTTCCCGCCTACTGCAACGAGTTCGCTGAGGAAGATTACATCATCCAGGACACAATTTTGGATCTCGGATTTGGCAGCAAGGGCAAGGGCACGGCTAAGCATGGCCGCTCAGGCAGTCGCACTCCCATGCGTCTCATCCAAGAAGTTGGCCGAGATGCTGGTCGCATTGGTGATAAAATCACATCTGTCTTTGGTACCATTGCTTCTGAGATTACCGGAAAGAAGGTCTTCGACCCCAACTCTGCTCACTCCGTCGTCTTAACTGCCTTGGAGAGAAACAAGAGTGCCGAAGCTCTGGCTAGGCGTATCTGGATGTCTATGGTCGTCGAAGGCAAGAATGAGCTCTACCTGGAGGATCTTGTCGAGGTCATGGGCCCTGGCCGCCAGGAAGAGGCGGAAGAGTGCTTCGCTGCAATCGACCGCGACGGAAATGGCGACATCAGTTTGGAAGAGATGATCTTGACTGTGACTGACTACGCCAGACAGCGCAAGTCTATCAACTCCAGTATGCACGATGTCGACCAAGCTATCAACGCCCTCGACGGTCTCATTATGACTATCGCTGTCATCGTCTGCATCTTCGTCTTCGTCGCTTTCCTCGCCCCGGCTTTCCGCACCACCCTTGCTACATCCGCGACCGCCCTCCTATCGCTTTCCTTCGTATTCGCGACAACCGCACAAGAGGTTCTCGGTTCCTGCATTTTCCTCTTCGTCAAGCACCCGTACGATATCGGCGATCGCGTCGACATTACCACCGAGCAGCTCACTGTAGAGCACATCGCTTTGCTCTACACCGTGTTCAAGCGCGTCACCAACGGAAAGACTGTCCAAATACCCAACATTGTCCTGAACTCGCTGTGGGTGGAAAACATCACACGAAGCAAGGCCATGCGAGAACAAGTTTCGGTATTCTGCGACTTCGGTACCTCATTCGAGGACATCAATCTGCTCAAGATGGAGATGATGAGCTTCGTTCGCGATCCGGCTAACGCCCGCGAGTTCCACTCTGATATCGACATCGAGGTTGTCAGCATCGCCGAGATGAACAAGCTCGAGCTTCGTGTCGAGATCCGCCACAAGAGCAACTGGTCCAACGAGTCACTTCGCGCTTCTCGCCGATCCAAGTTCATGTGCGCGCTCGTCGTCGCTTTGCGCAAGGTTCCGATTAACGGTCCTGCTGGAGGCGACGCTGCTCTTGGCTCGCAAGACAAGCCCACCTGGTCCGTCGCAGTACCACCCGCTGAGGCTGTCGCAGCGTACGAGAAATACAAGGCCAGCGCCGATGCCGGCCGTCTCCGCCCACTCAACCCCAAGGAAGAGGACACCGGTAGGACTTCTGGCACTGACTACTTGGGCGTCGGGACAGAAGGCAACGCAATCACCGCCCTCAACAACAGGAAGCCAGGTCTAGACACCATCCGCGACGACACCTGGGAAGCTCGCGGCGACGACTCTAGCACCATCGGCCGTCCCAGCACAGACCAGCGACCTGACCTTGACGAAGTCCGCGGTCTCCTCCGCAAGGCCAGTTCCGCTGGAAAGCGAAAGGGCGGAACCACACTCTCGCCATTCGGCTCGCGCGTCTCCGTCGATACACCACGCCAGAACCCGCCTCCACCACTCCCACTCCACGTAGTACCCTCCGGCGGCCAAAGCACATATGCGCCCCCGCCAGGCGGCCCCCTACCCCCGCCATCGATGCCTCGCAGCACTGCACCCGGATCGCCTAGTTCCATTTCCACAGGACAGGTAGAAGAGTACTCGTACCAGACTATGGTACCACCACCTCGCTCACGCAGCCGACCGCGCGCACCACAAGTAGAGGAGGATGAGGGCGAGAGGCGATGGGATATCAATGCGAATGCGCCACAACGCGCCCCGTCGAATAATAACCCGTATAGGAGTCCGGGGTCGCCGCAGCAGGGCGGGTTTCAGCAGCAGTTTAAGAGGGAGTAGAACTCCCGTATAAGCTAGGGTGTCGAGCACGAAGTCTGAAAATTTCTGTAATGTCTTTTTCTTTATATTTACTTAGATGGAAATCTTAGCATGGCATTAGTGATGGTGGTGGTGTCTTGAAGACGCTGGCCTCACTGTGGCGTTTTATATTGCTTGGTAGTGTGTGGGCTCATGAGATGGGCTGTATATCAATCACTACATTTTACTCCATTTTACTACTTCATCTTATCTGACGTCTCGCAACAGTTCGTTTGTCATATGAGTAACTATCGCCGGGCGAGCCTGCGGAGCTATAGAGTTGCGCACGTGCATTGACACTGGCTCTACGGGTATATAAACCCCTCTTCTGGGTCTAGGACTTGACTTTCTCATTCCACACTTCCTCCTCTTGTCTCCAAAAAAGATATTGGACTCACACATGGAGCAAGATCTTTTCTCCAAAACACAAGTAGCAACAGTGTATGTGAGAGCCTGTCCGCTCAAAACCAACTACCTTTCGAAAAGAATCTTCAAATTATCAACGTCACCACCCATGTCGACTTCTCCTCTGCGACTCCATATACACAAAACGTTCCTCAAGGCTTCTAATGAGAGATTAAACGGTCCAAAAAAAAATAACCAGGAAGTCTGATGGACTGGAGAGTCTGACCTTTTCTTTGAATACCGAAACCAAACCATTTAGCATTCTCGTCATGTCCACTCCCGCGCTGTGACAGCGCTTATATCAAAAGAACACCTCGACTTGAGCGCATGAGAGGCGTCGAGAAGTCCAAAATACACATCATACCTGAACATGGAGAGCGAGGTGCTGCGTTCTGGTTCAACATCAAGGCACGAAAACAAAACCTTCGGTCATTCCCGAAATGTTGCGGCGCTCTCCTGTTCCTCTCACAAAGCTCCTCCATTGCCTGTCATGGTACTCGAGGATGTATATATTGGTCTATTCTCGCTGCGAGAGTTGCCTCCTTCATTCCACAACTTCCTGTTTATTCTACCAAAAAGGTACCGTTACAACTTCCATGGAGATGAATTCAAAAACAAGAAACACCAAGATCATGTCGTGATCTGCTGTCCAGAAGAAGCCCTGGATTTATGGATTTCAAAAGCAAAGGTTGACAAGGACTATGTCTGTCCCTGGCTCTCCGGTTGCTCTTCATCAGATCATCAACACAACGGTCGTATGGAGAGTCTGTGGTTCTGGAAAAACAGAGGGAACGTCATCATGTGGCGAGCTGGTCTCGCCTCTCAAAGCCCAAAGTCTGGGTTCGATGTTGCGCGCTTCCTCCGTCTCGATCTCGATCTCAAAATATGGCAATGCAAGCGGAATGACTTTCGCGGCGTATAAAGACCACTTAGTCCCGCCTCCGGACTTCTATCCTTTACTCCACACCTTCTTGTGGTGTTTTCCAAAACCTTCTTGAAACGCACTGATGTCTTGGGTGACTTCTCCAAAACCTCGATTGGGAGTTATGATGGCGCATTCGCCTAAAACAAGCAGACAAGTAGCCTGTGTCAAAAAGTGTTGTCCCAACCTCGTTATGGCTGTCTCTGCCCTCCCCTTCGCCATATACAAAACTCAGCTACATCAAGCTCATGGAGAGGCTGTGAGCTGGAAACAGACTGCCACTATCCATATGCGCTGGCACCTGTGCTTCGCTCAAAACTTTCAGCATTATGCTCATGGAGTGGAGTCCTTCTTCCCACAATCAAGAACAAAGCAGGGTCATCGATGACTCTCGCGGCATATAAAGCCTCTTACTTCTCGTCGGTCTTCCTGCTTTCTTCTTACCACTATTACGGTTGCTGTGTTCTCAAAAAGGCGATCGACACGCCCGAATGTCTGCGGCTTGCGCTGCTTCCAAAAAGGACCACAGACCTCTTCATGTGAGAGGTTGGCTTTCCTGAAAAAGTTCTAGAAGAAGTTCGATGTGTGGGGACGAGGAGTAGTCTCGCAAATATGACTACTGTTCTTCCCCCACCTCGAAAGTCGGTCCTACGCTTCTTGTAGGCTACGCTGGTTCTTCGAAAAAGATGTATCGCAAAGCAAATACGGGAGAGAGAAAAATCGATAGATGCATCGACGCATGTTGCGAAAAGCATTCGGAAAGTTGCCGATAGGCAAAGACCGCGGCGTCTGTCTGCACAATCAGGGTATATAGCTGCCCTCCTCGCCTACTTTCTTTCTCTCTCACACCATTACTTAACTGGTATTTTCCACAACATTGATGCCGTCGGAATATGAGACTCTGTTTCTCAAAAACCTGCGACTGTATTGGCATCTGGAGAGATCCTGCGCTTCGAAAGCCTATCGCAAACCATCCATGAGCCTTCTGCTTTCAAACACTGGGAAATGGTTGCGCATGTGTGGAGACGTCTGGCGGTCTTCTGAAATCTGTGTTTGGATAGCTGCATGCGAGACCTTGGAGGGCATGCTGGAACATAAACCCTGCCTTTGCTGCTTCTTTCCCCTCTTATACCACACTTTCGTCTATTCTTCCAAAATGAGAATGGAAAATGCCATAGGACTCTGTCCTCCAAAAAACAGCAAAAAGAAGTCATGTGTGGAGATTCTCCGATCGCCACGATGCCGGGCCTTTGATGGGAGTATTCCTTCGAGATAAGTATACTGAGAGCATATGTGCAGAGACTTTAGCCATTTCTTCTTACTGTGGAGCTTTCGGAGGATATGCCAAAGTGAAGAGTGCCCCGGTCGCGATATAAAAACTACCTCACCAGCTCCTTCCATCTCTCTCTTTCATACCAAAGCCTTGCTCTCTTTTTCTAAAACATGTTTTTCTGGCGGCTATGGGCGTTCCTTTTCCAAATGGTAAAGGCTCAATACCCATGAAAAGAGATTCTCTGGCCTCTAAAAAGATTGGAGCGACTTGCCCACGGCCATCCGCCACATAAAGTATCGAAGAAAAGATCACATGTGGGAAGCTCGGAGCGTACATCATCCAAACCCCAGAAAGAAGCCTGGTTTGTGATATAAAGTCTACATCCGCCTGCTCCCCTTTCTTCCTTTCTATTGCCCTCACTCTAGCTTTCTTCTCTAAAACGACATACCACGTCGTTCGATGAGAGCTCTTTTTCAAAACGTTTACACGAATATGCTACGGGTGAAGGGCTTCTGGTCACTGTAAACAGCTACTTTTACCTCAAATGAGTGCATCCTTCCAAAAGCAAGCACACAGGCTGCACATGTGTGCAGATTCCGTTCCGCATTCCAAATGCCGACGTTCGCGTCGCATGCTGCAATTGAACTGATCATGGAATCATGGAATGCTCTGTTTCCGCGCTGCGGTAACCAAGTATGTGTGTATTGGCGCAACTTTCAAGAAGATTCCAGGTTCTGATAATGTCTCGAAAACGACTTGTTCGTTGAGCTACTCAACAGTTTGAACAAAGCGACGGGTTGGACATGTGAGAGCTGCTCGCTGCTTGGCAACGTGTATAAATCCCTCTCTTCCGCCTCTCAATTTCTTTCCTCATATATTCTTTACTTGTTCCAAAAACACCAAAATGGGTAGACCACTTCTTTATGACTGAGTCCAGTCCTCGAAACTTTACAACGAACACTACATGTTGCGGACTTCCGGTGCTGAAAATTATTTGGCGACCAGGATATGTGCTTTCCTCGAGATGTCGACAACGTAGCGCTTGATCGGAAAGATTACCTTGATCGTTGGATGGGTTTCCCCGGGCGATGCTTGTCGAAAACGACTCAAGGATATTGGAAAACCTTCGATGATCTCGAAAGCTGCGGCATCTCGAAATACGATTGTTTCCAGACGCTGCAGCAATGAAAGCTTCAGTATCGATTACTCAGTACCGGAGCTCAGCTCTCGTCTTCTAAAACACTATGCCGAGGTACTATGTGCTGCTCTCGCGCACGCATGCCGTATAATCGATATCTGCGGTAATCTTCTCTAATGACAATCGCTTAATCGGTGCGCACATCATTTACCGAAACCGCTCGCTTTGAAAACATGTAACGTAAGCTTTCCAGCGCCTTGTAATACCAGAGCCACATCGGGAGCAGTGAAAGCGCTGCCAAATGTGATAGTCATGACTTCGGTTCGTATTGACTTGCTTTATATGGCGATCAGGGTCTACTATGCCGCCGATGCCTAATTGTAGCCATCATTAACTACTTCTGTTCGAATAAAATCCCTGTACCTTTTGCTCGTATACGCTTGCACGCAGTAAGAGGATGTGCATGAAGCGGGAACTCGAAAACAGCATGTCAACGAGTAGGGGCGGTGAAATACGCTCAGGCGTATCGGTGACCAGTCAATGCATACCATTCGCATGGGGAAACCAACTTAAATGGCCACCCGACACACAGAAGTAGAAGCAAGGCTAGGCATAGGACTTCGACAAGTCATAGTCCATCCCACCTATCACATCCAGTCCGGCCTACTAGGCTATTAAAGCCTCAATCAACATGCCTTTTTTCGCCTCTAGCACTCGCTGTGAGACTTTACCGAGCTCTTTCCTCATCGATGCTACTGAATCTACTCGTACGCCTTCCATCCACTGATCCGGATCTTGCGTCGAGGCTCTCGAACTCTGGCTTCCAGCAGCTGCTTCTGCGAGTGCTGCATAATTTGGAGATGGCCTGAATGAGATATTCATCTCTTCATCCGTCGCTCCCTGATTCAATCCATCAGGATAAACCAAGGCGGTTGAGTTCTTTGGAGCCTTGAAGCCTATGAAGAATGTCAGCGCACGTATAGCAGGTGTTTGCTAGCAGACCTACCACCATTGTTGAGTACAATTGTGAGGATGGGTATTTTGTACTTGGCACCGACCCACAACGCGCTCGAAGGTGCCGCGCACATGTAGCTACCGTCTCCAACAATCTGGCAAATGAGCTTCGGCTTATGCGCACTATCCGTAGTGACGGCCGCGTCGTCTGTGGCCATCTTGACACCTAGTGCTGCGCCATTACTCCAGCCAATACCAGTTGCACCGCAATTGATCCAACTGCCAGGTCTGTCGGCCTGGATCTGATCGGAGAGAAGCTGCCCGCATGTCACAGCCTCGACCACGAATACCGTTGTGTCCGGAAGGCTTTGCTTGAGAAGATGGCCAATGTTGCTCGCGTCAAGACATTGCTCGTCGCCCAAGTGACATCGTGCCGCGATTTCGACGAGTCTCTGCTTATGGCTATCTGCAAGAACCTTTTTGCGTTCCAGGAATGAAGGCTGTTGCAGCGTCGCACTCAAGGGAGAGATCGTGATGTGGGACAGAATTTGCTTCAATGCAGTATAACATTCAGCTCTCCACCGTCCATGCGCTGGGAAGAAGGAAACTGGAATGCGTTCATTCAGAGGATCGATGTCGATCTGGTATATGCGCGTGCCTCTTGGTGGCGGATTTACTGATGGAATCCAAGGGACGTCGCAGTCGAGGAGTAAGATCATGTCAGCATCGCGTGTGCATTCATCAGTGCTAAGACGAAAGCCTTGCGAAGCAGGGTGTGAGAAAGGAAAGCAGAGGTCGCTGCCCCCAGTGTCATGCACTCGCAAACCAGGTATGAGATCTGCGAGAGCGACCAGTTGTTCGGGGCAACGCCTGTCTCTTCCTGAGTATCCTGTGATTATCAGTGGGCGCTTGCTTCCCACCAAGGCCTGTGCTATCTATAGAGTAATCATGTCACATAAGTAAGATGTCTTGTACGCGCAGAGATGTAGAACTTGCCTCTTCAATCGCATCAGCTGGCAGAGCACCGAGACCGACGGCTTTCCACTGTTCCTGGTCCAACCAGTAAGGCTCCTCGATTACCTCCGCAAGTGTTTCTCGTGCGCTTGCAACATAGACTGGTCCTTTGGGTCCACTGTTTGCAAACTGCAGCGCACGTGCAACGGTCTGCTTGACGTTGAGGCCTGTCCGGATCTCGCCAGTATATCTGCAATATTGGCGAACAATAGCTTTCTGGTCAGGTGCTTCCTGCAGCCAGTGCATATACTCTGTCCGTGACCCCGTCATCTCCCCAGCCTCAGTATAGGGACACAGTCCGGCGAAGATGAAGACAGGCGCCCGCCCGACGCTTGCATTGTGTAGGCCCTGTCCAAGCGCTTGCGTGCCCACGTCGACATGGACTACGACAGCTTGCGCCCGGCCGGAGACTCTCGCGTAGCCATCTGCCATTGATATAGCTGTTATCTCCGATGGAGAGGTTATGAACCGGGGCCATTTATCTGGCCGCTCTCTCTTGCCCTTAACAATGGCTTCGATGATGGACGGATGGTCTGAGCCCACATTGACGAAGCAGACGGTGATGCCGGCCTAGAGCAACCGTTAATGGTTTTGATGTTTTCAAAGTCGCGTATGCGCATGTGGCAGCGATGTGGACTCACCTCCCACAAAGCCTCGAAGAGCGCGTAAGCCGTGGTGTACCTGCAATGCTGTCAGTGAAATACTTGGAATGTTACACTTAGGTCGGCGAACGAAGATGTTGATGGCGATGGACTAGAGATGACGCTTGGACGAACATTGGTGTGATATTGGTAAGAAGGAATGCTGATTGTGGTTGCCGGTCGCTCAGTTCGCAACGCGGTTGCGTGTATCGAGGGCCGGCGCGACGATATGAGTACAGCTGGGGGATGCTGATACGACGGGATGCTGGAAAATGTCGACAGGCGCCTACGCGATGCAAAGAAGCTCGCGCGCTTGCTCGCAGCAACATCGAACACGTGTATGCGCATGTTGACAAGTCCGAAGGTGTGTTGTAGTTGTTCAGACGCGTGGGGCAAGACACAGATCTGATTGTTGACACATTACTACTTGGAGCTTAGCGTCAGCTTACTTCACTGCGTGGTCAGTGGGTTCTATCAGCGTTCTATCACAGAATTGCCATGATATATCTTGTCTGCTTGTTCAGCAGTACTCCTGCTTCCCTCGACGTTCAGGTCCACCTGATCGGCGTTCACCTATCGGACGCGTCGGGAACGATCCCGAGGTTAGCTCTGCCCGCTGCCGCTACCATCTAGCGCCGGGGCTGATACTCAGCCCCCGAGCTCCGGATCGCGACAATTCTTCTACTCTATCTAAGAGCGTCTGCAAGTCGACCGGTCATTCCGCTTCCGGGTACCGTATTCTGTAGAAGGAGCAGGAGCAAGTGCCACTCAATGGTAGTCGTAAAATGCAGGTCCCAGGCGCGAACGGTCACGCGAAGTGAGAGAGACTAACGTATACTGACGGCAGGCTCAAGGCCTGAGGTGCCTGCGATGCGCATAGCTTGGCACGTTTATGAGCAAGCCAATAACAAGACGCCGGCTGTGTCAACGCATGTACGCACTTCCCGCTGACAGCTCGCGACAGGAACATAAGAGTTAAGCGGGCCCGTCCTGATTCTGCCTTGCTCGTCTCGCGCTATCACCAGCCTTGTCCCCATTTCACCCCGGACGCCATTGACCGGAGTTGAAGGCTACCACCACCGGATCTACGATAAGCCGCACGACACGGAAAAGTTGAAACAAGATTACTGGGCGATCGCGCGACCAAGCCGTGCGAAAGGACCGTAAGAGGAGGGACGTTGACCGCAAAGATGGGGATAGTGGACAGCAAAAGCAACTCGCCAACAATAGATCACCAATGGAATTTAGAGCGCATAGCATTTGGAGAGACTGAGGACGAGGCTTTGTTGCAGGAACTTCTTGAAAGTAACCACGTGAGACCGGACGAACGAGATGAAAGATACTATCCAGGCCGAACCTTGCTATCGATCGCCACAAGCCGTGCATCCGCAGCTATCGTGAAGATATTCCTGGCTAGCGACAAGGTAGATCCGAATTCGCGTGATGCGAAGGGACGCACGCCTTTGTCGCATGCCGCAGGCGAGACGCGTGGAGCGATTGTGAAAATCCTTCTCGAAAGCGACAGAGTGGATCCAGACTCTCGAGATGATGAAGGTCGAACGCCCTTGTCGTACGCTGTGGAAGAGAAGTACAATACGATCGCCGCAGAACGTGAAGCAATTGTAAGTATGCTTCTCGAGAGCGACAGGGTGGATCTTGACTCTCAAGATAACAAAGGTCGAACGCCTCTGTCGTACGCTGTGGGTTCGAAGGGCGATGTTATCTTTGAAAAGCTTCTTTCGAGTAACAGGGTAGATCCAGACTCTCGAGATAAAAACGGTCGAACGCCTCTGTCGTATGCTGCGGGTGGGAGGTGCAATACGATCGTAAGAATGTTGCTTGACTCGAAAAACGTTGATCCAGACTCAAGGGATACAAGTGGCTGTACCCCACTATCACGGGCTGCACAAAGCGGGTGGGCTGCAAGAAACAGCCCCCAGGATAACACGATACCGCTGGCTTTACTGGAAACTGGCAAGGTGAATCCTGCCTCTCAAGACAAGCACGGCTACACAGCTCTCTGGTGGGCTATTGGGGGTAGATGCGAAGAACTCGTTACACTGTTACTTGAAACAGGGCAAGTGGATGTAGAGGCAAAGGAAAGGTCGACCGGCCGATCTCCGCTGTCCCATGCGGCAAGAGTCGGGAACGGATCAACTGTGAAGGCGTTACTAGGTACAAGTAACGTGGACGTGAACTCGAAAGACAATTGGGGTATCACGCCGCTCATGTGGGCAGTCGAGCGCGAGGCTCACCATATTGTGGACTTGCTTCTCGGCGATCGGAGGCTCCTCGAGCGCTCGACAGAACACAGCGGTCTTGAGATTGATGCTCGATATCTCACGTACTGGCAAAACGTATGCAACCAAGAGCATGGCAAGGACTGTCAATCATCACCGATCGAGCACCGACTGCCCCACCATATTCCTGATTGGGTCATTGACACGACAGAAGGTTGTATAGTACCCGGTTGTACTGTCTCAAGATACATAGCTTTGAGCTATGTATGGATCGCCCCGAATGCGAGTACCGACACGTCCACAGCGGAGAGACTGATGCTAACACAGGAAACTCTAACCCAATTTCAAGAGCCGGGGTATCTGCAAGGGCATACACTCGCTCGTCTTCCCTATGCCGTGAAAGACGCGATTGTTCTTGTGCAGAAGTACGGGGAAAGATACCTGTGGGTTGATTGCCTGTGCATTGTACAGGATAGTGAGAGAACGCGCGATCAGGTCGACAACATGGGTGAAATATACGCTGGCGCGTACCTGACTATAATTGCTGCGACCACCGCGGGACATCTGAATACCTGGAAATCTACAAGACGTCGTGGCCGTGGCCTGGATACTACTACCCAACTTTACGAAAAGCTTTTGAAGACCAAGTGGGCCACTCGTGGGTGGACCTTTCAGGAACAGATGCTCTCTAAGAGAGTTATCATCTTCCTTGACAGAGAGGTATTCTGGGATTGCCAGAGATGCGTTTGGAATAGGGAAGACCTCACCCCAAAATCTGCTCCGAATACTACGTTTACCCGACCCTACTATGAGACTGCTCGGCGAATTTCCACCATGTCTCAGCCAGATCTAGACATGTACATCGAGATGATTAGCTTGTACAACAGTCGCGATCTGACCTATCCGCAGGACGCGCTACCAGCGATATCTGGTGTGTTAAGTACACTTGGGCACACTTTCGTTTCTGGTTTCGTCAGCGGCCTTCCTTGTGCATTCCTAGACCTCGCGCTACTATGGCAACCTTACAGTACAGCAAGTCGTAGAGTGGCCAAAGAAGGAGGCACTGTCGCACCAAGAAGAAGTCTACCATCATGGTCATGGTGCGGATGGCAATGCCCAGTGGACCCTCACAACCTCCGTTTGAGGTTCGACTACTTTGAGAAAGATTATCTCGGGGAAACCACCAGCCCTACTCCATCGACTTGGCAAACCCACCGACTTGTGCAGTGGTCTGCTTTGTCCGAAGATATGCAGCACACGTCGTGCATTGACGAATCTGATTGTCTATCTATGCGCGAAGAACTCACTCCCGATAAGAACGCTGTAACCCCTGGCACACAACCATCTTTTCATCAGGGCGAACTTGAATCATCAAGAGAACGCCAAGATGCTGGATCCGTAGATGCAAACACGACTTCGAGCTCGCACCGTTTGGCAGCATCTTCCCCTCGCGCTTCACGCTCTGTATTGCAACTTCGAAAAGATTGGCCATTCCTCTCATTCGAAACAAGTACGGCTTCACCCCGTGTCAAAACTATCCTCAAAAGGGCCCACTCCCCTGATATGTTGTATATGGGCCCCTCGGTATTCAAACTTGATCGATTTGCCCGTGAGCCATGTCTTTCAGAGATATGCTATATCATATGCCTGGAGGATGAACGAGGGAATCAAGCAGGCGTACTACGTCATATGAATCGTGACCGAGTCGATCCCGGCGACGTGATTGAGCTGATTGCTTTGTCCACAGGGACTATACGGTCGGAACACCTCCGGAACGTTGGAGGAGATGGCGGACCTCTGTTCAAGCAGATGATGAAATCAGATACTGATGAGATATGTACTTCTGAATATCTGGGTAAGTAGCATATCAAGCCTTGCAAAGCTAGCAAAACCCTCGTGAATTTGACCTACATAATCTCGGGCTAACTTTAGTAGAACTGCAGAAAGAAGTGAAGAAATACGGCAAAGAAAGTGAATCTGGCTGGGAATACCACTTTTACAATGTTCTTTGGATTGAACGCAAGGGCGAGATCGTATATCGGAAGGCAGCTGGGCGTGTACCAAAAGTCGTCTGGGAGGCGAATTGCACGAAGCCCGCGAAGATCATTCTTGGCTGATACTTCGCAAAAGCAGCAACAATAGATGTTATTCATGAATACCAGACTCTAGTTGCAATGTATACGCGTCAATATCGACAAGCTCAGGATGATACACAATGAGTCATTTCGCGCTAATCGGCCAAGACCCGGTCTTATCCGAATATAAAAGTGAACGTTCAAAACCGAAAGGATCCAAAAGGCATATAGGAAATTCCAATTTCGACTATTCCAACACTCGCAGCTTCCAAGAATGATAGTAGACATCCTCCACGACATCCGCATCTGGACGATGTTAGCCCTCCTCGGGGGCATCTACATCTACATCCAAAACCACCGGCGCCGCCTACCCTTCCCCGTGATAAACACGCACGCAAACGACTTCCTCAATCGAAAAACCAACCAAGACTACGCCACCAATGCCTCCGCCCTAATAACCACTGGCCTCACCACCCACCCCGCCACCCCCTTCGCCCTCGCCCTCCCCAACGCCTACAAAGTTGTCCTTCCAGCTTCCCTATCCAACTTCGTCAAATCGAACCGAGATCTAGATCACAGGGAGTTAGTGCGTCAAGACTTCTACGCAGGATATCCCGGTTTCGAAGCTCAGGATGTGTTACACGCGTCTGGGGATATGTTGCTAGACATCATCAAGACGAAGCTAGGGCAGAATGACAGTGTTATGTCTGTTCTGAGCGAAAAGTTGGATAGTGCATTGCGTGTGCACTGGGGTGAAGAGAGGGAGTGGCGGATGCTGAGCTGGCATGCTGACACAACGGCCATCATTGCGTGCGCTGCGTC